ACTGGCTTCATGAGGGCAAGGATTTCTTTCTCGCTCTGTTTTTTGTTGTTGTTTGTTTCGTTTTGTTTTATTGATGTTTCTTGTAGCACCTAGCGTGGTGCCTGGCACATAAGTTCTCAATACAAATTTGTTGAATGAATGAAAACGGGAGTTGGTTAATATTTTATGAGGTATGTTGGTATCCTGAGTACACGTTAATAAAATAAAATTAGCCAAAATGCATGTTTGCTTATCTCAGTTTATCATTTATTTATATGACAGCTATCGTTTCTTGAGAGTAGTGGTGACTTATTTGAAGTAATCTGAACCAATTACTAATTATATAATTTGGTTAACTGTTTAACCAGATATGTACTTAATGGCTAGAATCTGAATTAAAGGGATGCAGACATCTTATGCAAACTATGTTTGGAAAGCCAAACTTATACTGACAGGTGAAATCATTAAACAATTGGTTAGGAAGAACTATCAATAAACAGAACTGCTGGGGGAGGGGGAATAAACCACCTTTTGATCTGTTATATTCCTTAGACTTGATAAATACCTTTATTCCACATAATAGGCAACTTAAGTATTTACTTTGGCATTTATTCTACTCAAATACCAGCTAATTTAGTGCCAGATGAAATGTTTTCTTGTAATAAAATCAATTAAAAATTAATTGACTTTTCAAACAGACATTCATACAGGTATATTTTAGAAAATTCAGTTGTCATTTTTTCATGCTAAATTTATTACAAAAACAAATGAAATGTTGATTTTTTAAAACATGGATTAAACTTTGGTAGATGTCTGTTTTATTTGGCCAAGAAAGTAAAACTGGATTCAGTTCCATTTAAGAACCATTTATTAAATGTATGTGTGTAAAAAACAAAATAGTGGGAGATATGAGAGACATAAATGACTATAAAGCAAGGTGGAATGTGGTAAGAACTATAAAAGTAGAAAGGGACTTCCCTGGTGGTCCAGTGGTTAAGACTCTGCACTCCCACTGCAGGGGGCATGGGTTTCGACCCCTGGTTGGGGTTAGATCCTGCATGCTGTGCAGCTCGGCAAAAAAAAAAAAAAAGAGAGAGATAAAAGTAGAAAGATGAACTCCAGGATTCCACATAGGGGAGGCACCATGGTGTTAAGTTTATTTATTTATTTATTTTAACTTTTTATCTTATATTGGACTATAGTTGATTAACAATGTTGTGATAGTTTCAGGTGTACAGCAAAGTGGTTGTTATACATGTATCTATTCTGTTTCAAATTATTTTCTCATTTAGTTGCATAATATCGAGCAGAGTTCCCTGTGCTATACAGTAGGTACTTTTTGGTTATCCATTTTAAATATTAGCAGTGTGTACATGACACCATGGTGTTAAGTTTAAAGCAGAGATATAGATATGGAGGACCTGTGTCTAAATTCCTGTGCTCGTATTCATTACTTGTGTGGGGGCAGGTTGGTCACTCTAGATCCGTTTTCTTGTTTGTAAATGAGGAGTGTTAATAGTATCAACCTCAGGGATGTTGTAGGGATTAATGAGGTAACACATATGCAACACAGAGAGACAATTCTGAGAGGTTGAGTGATGCCTAAATTCTGTAAGTCTTACATTAAGTGATGATGGTGGAGATGGCAGTGGAGATTGCATCTGTGACACCACTCACCCCAGAGAAGGTACTCTGTGTCTGAGAACTCAATTCCAATAGGAGCAGCTCCATACCAAGCCACAGTCCACTCAACAGACATGTATTAAGCATCCACCAAAGCCAGAATTCTCCTAGACCCTAGGGAATGATGAATCAGAAATATCATTGCCTACCTGGAGGTCACAGCACCAAAGAGTGGTCAGAAAGACCACTTCAGGCTGAGAAACAGCATGGGGAAAAATGTAGTAGTAAGAACCAACACTGAAGTAGAAATTACTCAAATGTCCGTTAACTGATGAATGAATAAACAAAATGGGGTATATATCCATACAACCGCATATTACTCAGCCACAGAAAGGAATGAAGTACTAATATGTGCTACAACACGTATGCACCTTAAAAACATGCTCAGTGAAAGAAGCCAGTTGCAGAATGCTACACATTGTATGATTTGATTTATATGAAACGTCCAGAATTGGCAAATCCATAGAATCAGAATGTAGATTATGGGTGCTTAGGAGTGAGAAGGTGGGGGCATGAGGAGTGAACGGTAATGGGCCTGGGGTTTCTTTTTAGATGATGACAATATTCTCAGGTAGATTGTAGTGATGGTTGCAGAACTCTGACTATACCCAAAACTATTGAGTTCTGTGCTGAATCGTATGGTTTGTGAATTATGTTTCAGTAACGCTGTTTAACAAAAAAGAAGCACCAGCACCATACAGGTAGGGAACCCAGAGAAGTCATGATGTGGCTGAGGAACAGGTGTGCAGACGAAATGGCAAAGACAAGGTTGGAGGCTCAGGCAGGGTCAGTCTTGTGTGCCCTGTGAAGGAGCATGTCGGTGAGCACTGTGAATGGTGCGGGCAGCCTGGCACCTTAAGAGACTGCATGTGCCCACATGGTCTTCATTTATTTCCACACCTGTGAGAACAGTGATGACTGGAAGGAGGGGAGCAGTAAAGACTGGAGTTAGAAAGCCTGTTACTAGGCAGTGGCAGGCGCCCAGGCAAGAGGAAGTGAAAGCTGAACCAAGGAGTAGGGATAGAAATATTTGGGAGCCGGGTAGGAAGGAAAAATGATGTGAGGGATTGGTGAAGAAGGGAGGAAGGAATGACTCCCAGGACCCTAGCAAGGGTGAAGGGGTATGTGTGATCGCCACCTGAGATGAAGAGAAACAGGTTTCACAGGAATGGTGAAAAATGTTACTCTTCTATTGTGAACTGCAGGTTTGTGTCTCCCCAAAATTCGTATCTTGGAAACCTAATCCCCAGTATCGATGCCAAAAGCTCGGCCTCTGTACACCGGCACCGAATCAAATCTCAGAGACAGAGTTTTGGGTGAAGTAGAAAAGAATAGCTTTATTGCTTTGCCAGGCAAAGGGGGACACAGTGGGGTCCTGCCCCAAAAAACTGTGTGTCCCCACCTGGGAGGATTTGATGCGGAGTTTTATAGCAGTAGTTCAAGGGTGGGGTTGCTGATAAGATCAGGGTGTGCAGGGCCTGTGCTCCTTTACTCTGATCTCGGGTAATTTCTTGAAGAGCTTCTCTGGTTCCTTTAATCTGGCCTCTGGTGGTTTTTTGGGTGCTCCTCCCTTGATTAGCATCTGTTCAGATCTACCCTTTGGAACTCAGAGAAGGTCATGGAGGCTGGAGTCTGTTCCCTACAAACAAGAAAATGGGGGACAGAAAGGCATCTGTGTCCAGGAGCCCTACAGGGTCCTGTTTGGTTTCAATGTGATGCTATTAAGAGGTGGGGCCTTTGGGATATAAGTAGGGTTGCATGAGGTTGTGAGGGTGGAGCCCCCATGATGGGATTAGTGCCCTTATAAGAAGAGACAGGGGCTTCCCTGGTGGCGCAGTGGTTGGGAGTCCGCCTGCTGATGCAGGGGACACGGGTTCGTGCCCCAGTCTGGGAAGATCCCACATGCCGCAGAGCGGCTAGGCCCGTGAGCCATGGCCGCTGAGCCTGTGCGTCCGGAGCCTGCGCTCCGCAACGGGAGAGGCCACAACAGTGAAAGGCCTGCGTACCGCAAAAAAAAAAAAAAAAAGAAGAGACAGGAGAGAGCTGGCTTCCTCCTGTGTTGTCCCCCCGCTTCCATGTGATGAAACCAGGAAGAGGGTTCTCACCAGAACCCAACCATGCCGGCACCCTGATCTCAGACTTCCAGCCTCCAGTACTGTGAGAAATAAGTTTCTGTCATTTAAGCCACCCCGTCTATGGTAATTTGTTATAGCAGCCCAAACTGACTAAAACACGCCTTAAAAACACTGTGACCTGAGCTGAGTTTTAATGAAGTACAGAAGCCACATCTTGCTTGATGAGGGACTGGAGCAGTTTCCACAAGCCTGTTCCACTTATTGTGTATAGTTCACTACCTTCTCTCTGGAGCATTTTTTTCTAACTCTAGAGTGAGATTTTTTTTTTTTTTCAATAAAAAGCTAAATAGTGATCAGGAAGACTTAAGGAATTATTGAGGTTCTCAATCCTTTCAAGTAATAGAGCACTGATTTTTTTTTAACTGCATTATTATTGGGAGAGGAGTACTTTTTAAAAAAGAAATCTTATCATACATCCCATTAAAAAACCAGGTAAAATTGGAGCCTGTTTATATCCAAAGTCCTGGAAGATGGTTCTTCTTGTCACCACTGGGATGAAGGGATGAATGTGCTCCCTGGGGGTGGGTCCAGGTTCTGTGGGATCTGACACTGATACAGTATTGGGGAGGGCGGGGTGAAAAAAGAATATGAAATTAAGACTACGTTTAGGTACAGGGCCTTGGAAGGGCCATCATTAGCTTCATGGCAAGTCTTCCTCTGATCTTGATGATGGTGGTGGTGGTGAAGGTGAGTATTAGCACATTGAGTACCTATATGCCTGGCACCCATTCCAAGCGGTTTTCATATATTAATCCTTAGGACAACCTAAGGCACAATATACCAAAGGTACAGAGAGGTCATGCCCAAGGTGACACAGCTGGGACATGGAGTTGCTAGGAGAGAAGGGTAGACCAGTAAACTGGGAGCAGAGACCTCCATCAGCCCCAGCTTTGCCACCTGTTAATGGGAAACCTGGAATACATCACTGAGCCTCCTGTGGATGCCCTTGACTTCACCTGTAAACAGGAACTTTGATGCCAGCTAGGAGCCCCTCGTTTTGTTGTTCTGAGGTCAGTCAGGAGACATCGTGTGGAAGTGCTCTGTGGAGGGTGAAATGCTTGGAAATGTGTGCGATTAAATTGTTTTTCATTCTGACTCAGTATTATAGGTGAGGCTAGAAAATATATTTAATTTTGCTGACTTTTGTTTCAGTTCTAATGTTTCTAATTTATTTCTTGGACATGATTTTTTTTTTTTTTTTAGGTTACTTGTCTGCAAGACTTTTTTGGTGATGATGATGTTTTTATTGCATGTGGACCTGAAAAATTCCGTTACGCCCAAGATGACTTTGTCCTGGATCACAGTGGTAAGGCAATTCATTGACCATCTTTGTAACCCTGAAATGGAGGCTTGGGATTCTCACTTGGTGCACGTTAAGTGGTCTGGTGTGTTGAAGAAAGATGGCATTGGCGGTACTCTTTTTGAATTAATGAAAGTAGAAAATAACATGAAGGTATTTACCTAGTTGCAAAAAACAAAAAACCCTAATTCAAGTGAAATAGTTTTCATTTTTTAGCAAGTTGGTTCCATCTCTTTTTACTGCATGGTTTTGCCTCTGAAGTGGATTTCCTACCTTCTTCCAGAATGGTGCCTGGCTATGCCACCTTAAATGTTTGGATAGTGTTGAACCTGAAACAGTTCATTATACATTTTCCATGTCCATAAAGAGAAACATAAAAGGATAGTAAGTTGTTAATAGTGATTATCTCAGGTTTCTTTTTATCTCATTGCTCTGTTCGCAACTTAAAAAAAAAAATAGCATGCATTGTTTATATATGCAGGAAAAATAAAGCTATTTTCATCGATGGGATAAGAAAATCACTTTCTCTTAATTTTAGCCAAAAAATGGAGTTTTCAACTATTTAGCAATAACCTCAGTGATTTCAAATGATTTTGATCCTGGGAATATTGTTCTAATCTGTTGTCTGGAACTAATTTAAACCTGTTGCAGTATTAGTGATTATCTTAGCTGATAGTAAAGTCAACTTCATCTTTAAATGAGATAAAATCATACAGACATAACATTTCACAGAGAAGAGAGGGATGTTGGAGATTCAGTCCCACTCTTTAATTTCACAAATGAGGAAAGTTGACTTTTCAAAAATTAAACTGGTGGTAAACCCTTTCCAGTTGTAGTGGTTCCGACAGTCCAAAATTACAGAAACGTACTACCAAATAAATAGACTTTTTAAAATTCAAGATGATACATTCTGTGGTACCAAACTTCCTTGTGTAATTCTTTCCTGTTACACTGTGTCACTTACCTTGGGGCGATTTATCTATTTTGTGCTTGGGGCTCATTTATCTACTCTTATCGTTTTTTTCCACTGCTGCCGAATTTCTTGGGCGTTTCTGTACTGTCTTATACTCTGTTGTAGTGGCCCTGCTTTATATTAGTAATGCCACCGGAAAGTCCATAAAGAATTGCCAACGCTAACTATGCTAATGCTCTCCCCTGTTCTCATGGGTTGACTGAAAAACGTGCATTTACATATCATCTGTATTTTACATCTTCTTTTTTTTTTTTTTTTTTTTGCGGTACGCGGGCCTCTCACTGTTGTGACCTCTCCCGTTGTGGAGCACAGGCTCCGGACGCGCAGGCCCAGCGGCCATGGCTCACGGGCCCAGCCGCTCCGCGGCATGTGGGATCCTCCCGGACCGGGGCACGAACCCGCGTCCCCTGCATCGACAGGTGGACTCTCAACCACTGCGCCACCAGGGAAGCCCCTACATCTTTTTTGACTGTAGCTTAATTTCATTTCATAATATTTCTTTGATGTCAATATGAGTCATTTTGAAAGCTGAGACACTGAAACTCAATAATATTATACTCCAGGTTATAAAGTTAATTTGGGTGGCAACAGCAGCAATAAAACATTTATTGAGCACTTACTATATATGTACTAGGCATTGTCCTCAGGGCTTTACATGTATGTTGTAAATTTACCTAAGCTATTTGAATTGTTCATAGTTTTTTGTTGTTTTGGCTACCAAAGAACTCCAATAATTAGAAGTGGGTGAAAGCTACTGATTTCTTCCCTCTTGATCCCTACTTAACCTTCTGCAAACTGGGGATAGTAAAAGTGGCTTTTTCATAAAATTTGATGAGGATTAAATGAGTTCATATGTGTAAAGCAGTTGGAAGTGTGCCCATTACACAGTATGTGCTATCCCTGTTGTTGCTGTTAATGTTATTATTATATCACCACCATTAGGTCATGAAATTTTATGATGAAAGCAAGTCTCAGACGTAATTCTGCCACAAGTGCATTTACTAGGAGTGATGCTGAAAACTCAGCCTCTGTGCACCGGTGCCGAATCAAATCGCGGAGACAGAATTTTGGGTGAAGTAGAAAAGAACAGCTTTATTGCTTTGCCAGGCAGAGGGGGACACAATGGGTTCCTTCCCTGAAAAACTGTGTGTCCCTACCCAGGGGGATTTGGTGAGGAGTTTTATAGCAATGGTTCAAGGGCAGGGTTGCTGATAAGGATCAGGGTGTTGCGTGCAGGGTCTGCACTCCTTTAATCTGCTCTCACTAATCTTCCGATGAATTTTTCTGGTTCCTTTAATCTGGCCTCAGGTGGTTTTCTCTGGAATGAAGATTGCTGACTTCTTCCATTTTTTGAGGGTTTTCGTTCTGGAAAGAGCTCAAAGATATTGTTATGTGTATCCCTTGAGGTGGAACCAGGACCCTTTCCCAAGGCTGCGCTATTTTGTTTCTTGGCTGTTCCTCCCTTGTCTCTGCATCCCCTCCCTTCCCTGATTAGCAACTGTTTGAACCTGCCCTTTGGAACTCAGGGGAAGTCATGGAAGCTGGAGTCTATTCCCTCCAAGAAACGGGGAGCATATCTCTGGATACATGTATATGTATGGTTGATTCGTTTTGTTATAAAGCAGAAGCTAACACACCATTGTGGGGCAATTATACTCCAATAAAGATGGAAGGAAAGAAAGAAAGAGAGCGAGAGAGAAGGAAGGAAGGAAGGAAGGAAGGAAAGAAGGAAGAAAGAAAAAGAAAGAAAGGAAGGAAGGAGGGAGGGAGGTGGGGGAGGGAGGGAGAGAGGGAAAGAAAGAAAGAAAGAAAAGAAAGAAACGGGGAACACAGAAAGCCTCTGTGCCCAGGAGCCCCACAGGGTCCTGGTAGGATTCAGGAGGCAAAGATTTATTTTAAAAAATCAGTTATTTAACTTGTGTTGTAATCTTGATGAGTCCCAGCTCTGTCCTTTTACACTGCTGACAACATCTTACATTAAAAATCAGTTCAAAATCCATAGAATTCAGCTAAGCTGGTCTTAGTCAAGGAACAGAACCCTCCATTAATGAGCTGGGTGCAGGACTGGCTCAGATTCCTACCCTGGGGGTAGTTCTGAAGTTCTGGGCTTTCTAGATTTACCCATCCTGCTCATAAGGGAGTGGCAGTGCCTTTAGGAAGTTCTCACTAACCCACACACCACTCCTTCCAGCAGTGGAGTACTTTCTAACATCCATGCTGCTAATTAACTAAGCTGCTATTGCTGCAGCCCCCTCTGAGTAAGGTTCTGATTAGAGTCTTTCAAATGCTAACTCACCTCCCTGGTGTGTATTTTCCTGATTAGTGTACTTCCCTTGTTAATTTATTGCCCCTGGGGTATAGATTAAAACCAACCCACATTTTAATCTTTCTGCAAAAATTGAAGTATTTTAATGTGAATTACAGACAATATGTTATCTAATTGAATCCTTATAAGAAGCCCGTGAAGCAGATTTATTTTCATCCCAGTTTCATAGGGGAAAAAACTGAGACTTAGAGCTAACCAAGGTCCACCAGTTAGCAAAGTCACATCCATGATTCATCCCAAATCTGCATGACTCCAAAAACCAGGTTCTTAATTGTTCAAATTAGAAGTGATTATTTAAGCTGTTTAATTAGTTCTGGTTCTTTACATGCTAACTTATTTGGCAATTTATGGAAAGACCAAAGTTATTGTTTAAAGCTAGTTTCCTCATTTTTGACGCTTTGGGCAGATGGAAAATAAGACAGTAAGGGGTTCATACATTAGAGTCCTATACCCTTTCAAACCGTTATCAGAGACTTGGAGAGAACTCTTTGTTGTAGCCTTTGCCTATCAACGCTACTGACCAAAATAATAATAAGTTGCACGTGTGTAGATTAGGCTGTGGGTATCAAGTTAGGACATCAGGATTTCTGTATTTATTAAGAACTCCATCTGGAACAATGAGGTAAGTCACAAGGTGTGAAGCCTCATTTAAGGTAACCTCAGGTGTGCTTTCGGGACAGTTGCTCTGTGTATTAAAGTTGTTTAACATTAATGGGAAAGATGATCAGGTAATGGTTCTAGGCAGTAAACTACCGTAACGTGTGATCTGTGATCTTCCTTTGGTTAGAATTAAAACCAGATCTACTTAAAGCACTTTTCTTCCTTTCTAGAATGCCGCGTCTTGAAGTCATCTTATTCTCGCTCCTCAGCTGTTAAGTATTCTGGATCCAAGAGCCCTGGGCCTTCTCGACGCAGCAAATCACCAGCTTCAGGTAGTTAAAGGGAAAAGGAAATGGATAGTCACAAAAGGAGCAGATCATTCTTCAGTTGTCTTTAATATGAATTAGTAGTCATTCCCATCCTTGTATGCAGCCAGGTTCCAGAATGACATATACATGACATGATTTTTAAATCCAGAAGTTTAAGTTTGTTTCTCAAAGTTATAATAAGTGTCCTAACACTTGGTTTTGTTCTGACACATTTTCTCAAGAACAGTCTTATCTAGATTCTTCTGGTATTTATGTAGAAGTGTTTCACGTTTTGACGACTGTGTGCTGCATTTTTAATTTTGTGCTATAAGATTGTAGATATTTCCTTATCTTATTGGTTTAAAACATAAACATACACGCCTAACAGCAATGTATTTACTTGATAAGTTTCCACAGGCTTTTCCACCATCGAGCAATTTAATAGGAGCAACGATTATTGTTAGAAAGCAGCACTGCTTATTTCAGAGTCAGACTTACCTCTAAGTTTCTTTCAGATCTTGAGCCTATAGATTTGTCATAATTTTGACAGCTTTTGACATTTTTAAAGAATTAAAATATCCCCTAAATCTTTCCATATTGATTCTGTAAGGCTCGCTTCTAGTAGTTATAATTTTGCTGATATCATTTCCCATTAAGGAAAGGATGAAAAAACTGTGATTTTACATGTGGTAAATCTAGAACATGTGAAAGTAATATTAGCAAAAACTGTCTGAAGCATCAGCCTTTTTATAAAATACTGAATTTGGGGGGTGTTCTACTTTTCTGCTGCTGCTTCTTCAGCACCTATCCCACTTTCTCTAGGTCAGGTTGTTTTGCCCTTCTTTTTGTGTACACATTTAGACCTGCTGAATAACCACTCTCCTTACTGTCTCCTTTGTTTATACTGAATGTGTCCAGTAAAGAGGGGTGGCCACTACTCCAGGGCCTACTCTACGGCCAAATCCCCAGGTGAGCCATGATTATTATGGCTTTGTCGCTCTGCTGGGTTTTTGTTTTTGTCTTTCGCCATATTTCTGTTTCCTTTTGCTCCATTTCCATGAATGCATCTGGCTTTTACCAGTGGACATCTGTGCAGTTATCAAGCACTTCACAGTGCTTCAGCCGCCCTTACTTGTTAGAGAGCCAGTCATCCTCAGAAGGTTGCCAGGTGCCTGTCTGTGTGTAGTCACGGGACACAGTGATGGAGGAGACACAGCGCTTCAAGTGGTGTGTCTTCTAGTTAATTTGGGAGAATAGCCTGTTATTGAAAAAGGCTAAGGGTTGTTGGTAATATGAAAATGGCCATAGAAGCAATTATACTCTCCTCTCCTTCCTCCCCACCCTGGGGTTGATAGGCCCAACATCCTCTCTCTAAAATAACAGCGATATGAATATTTTTAACTGAATGCATCTCTCTGGTGTTAAGCTTATTTCAAATGATATTGTGCTTTCTGTAAAGTATCTCACAAGCAGGGAAAGCTAATATCACATGAAATTTGCGTAAATACACTTCACTGAGTTTACCACGTGGTAAATTAGACTTTTGTCAGGTTCTTAGCTTTTGTTTTGGTGATAGGTTTAAAGATGCTTATCACATAAGTAACAGAAATAAAAGTGGGGAGAGTGGTTCAAGGATCAGGTATTAAAATTAATCTAATTTTGTCTGCCTGAGGTCTAAAGAGGGAAATTAACATGTTGAACTAAAAGCATGTTTCATAGCCATACTTGTCTTGTAGACCAACTGCTTCATAACATAGTCTAATAAGTGTATAAATCTTTTTAACTAGAATTTGGAATGCTTAGAAATTGATTTGAGAAAATCTTAGGATTTCAGTACTCCAGATTTTCAAGTGAGTCCATATTTGGTTAATAAAGTTTATCTTAACTTACAAGTAAAAGTTGTGAGATGTAGATCGCGTTTCAGAGGGCAAATGGCTTCTTTATAAGAGATTAACTCAAAAGCATGTTCAGCCCACACTGCAGTTATAGAAAATGGAGAGAGAGTTTTGTGTTATTAAATGCCACAGTACACAGAAGTATGACTCGCTTTTACGGACTGCTTTAGCTGTAGTATGCCTGTTACCATTTAGAACATTCCATGGGACTCACTGGAATTTCAAACAGAGCAAGTAACTTTGTAAATGTCATACTGTACTTTTTCACTCTTGGGGCAGAAGTGCTCCCATCAGTGAAGTCTTCTGGCTGACAGAATTCCTCAACAAAACTCTAAATTTATCTAAATAGCTAAATGATATGTAATAAACACATAGAAATTAATCTGGGTGATACAAGTGGGTAAATAGTTACCACAATTTGCATCTTAAAAATTCTCACTTCAGATTTCTAGCTTGTGAATCTGTCGTAGTCCACCAGGGTAAAAAACGTTCAGAGCCAACAAACAGGAAAGCCCCCAAGTTTGTTTCTTACCTTACAGTTGAGGGGAAGGGTGGATAAGAGCCTTATTTTGGGAGAGAAAATCCAGGCTGTAGCGAAGGAGGGGAGCATTGCAGAGACGCTGGGCACTGTCCGTCCACCTTCCTGTTGGTAGCAGCAGTGTCGGGGGAGAGAGCACAGTGTGGCTCTGTCCCAGGCTCCACTTACCCTCCCAGAGACTGGAGAGATGTGCAAATAAATGGAGTTAAGAACTTCTCACTAGACAACAACTTTTTAGAACCTTTCAAATGCTATCAGAAACTTAGAGGGCTATATATGGCTTAGTGTCTCTTTAGGATGGGAGTTATTTGAGGGTAACTATGGACATGTAGTTACTGATACCAGTTCAATCCCTGGCAGCGAGTTTTGTTAAGAAATTACGTTTAGGCAGGAGGTGTGTTTTTAGGGAAATTGGTCTGCCACAGGGCTTACCATTTGCAGGAACCAAGTTTTCTTCTTTAGTTCCTTTTCTATCACTGTTTCAAGGAAATCTTTGATATCAAATTGGTTTCTGAATATCAGTGAAAGGTAACAGCCCTTGGTGAGTAAGAGCTGGTGACCTGAACAGGTTGCTGTGTGGAATGAAGGAGAAACGGAGCCAAACTCAGTATCAGCTCACAGCAAGCTTACTAGTTCACTGCTCATAGTAATTCTCTGTTTTACGTGAATTCCTACCACCAGTTCCCTTTAAAGAGAATTTTTAAAAGAAAGAGCATTAATTGAAGTGTAACTTTATTGAAAAATAATCAGGGCTGTTGAATACTCTTAAAAGTTTCTAATTAATTGTACAGTTTCTTGTGTTGTACTTGTGCTCTAAATACCCACATACATTTGTTAAGAAAATCTAGATAACTGATAACGATTAATGAATGAGTGGTTTTAAACTAGAAGAATTCAAGTTTGGTCATTTAAAAATAACTGGAAAATTTTTTCATCTTTGCTGAATTTTTACAAGGAGCAATACAATAAACATACATGACTGAGTCACCTAATCACACCTACTTACAGATCCAGAATTCGGCCTCCATTCAAGGACTGGTGCTTACTTTTTTGAGTCACCTATTCAGGACCTTTATCTCTGCATTTTGCTTTTTATATTTATTAGCATCATTTAAAATAACAGTTGTCTCCTCCCTTTTATTAAAAAGATTTTTTTAAAAGGAAATGGACTTTGCTTTTCTTTCCATAGAGACGAATGCCAGTTTTCATCTGCTTGGGGCAGAAGCATTGACGATTAATGATAAAAGGGGTTAAAGCACTCCTTAGAAGAGGGGAAAAAAAAAAAAAAATATATATATATATATATATATATATATATATATATATATATATATATATATATATACCAATACCAGATGTTAACTAATAGTTTTGTGAAATTACAGCCAAAGTGGATCCCATTGGTATAATTAGGAATAAGCCTGAGTAATACTGAGATGTGTGACTAGCATTGTATAGTATAAAATCTGCAAACTAACCCTCCCCTTGAAACAGCCGTGCCCATACTCTTCCCTACCGAGTCTCTAAATTGAGCTTTCAACGTAGGAAGTGTATGGAAGTTTGGAGGAGGGTGTACAAAAAACCACCAGGACTTGCTAAATAATGGGGAAATTAAGTTGAGAAGACAAGAAAATGGAAGGAATTAGAAATAACTCGTCTGGATAATAAGAAATTGGCTTTCAAACAAATAAGTAGGTATTACAAGGGAAATGACCAGTAATTTTCTTTTTCCATTAAGGATATACTTAGAAAATGTGTTAGAATCATGGTGGAATTGATTTGGGAGTGCCACAAGAACGTCTTGGTTATTCAGGTTGGTGTATACTAAGACACTGGATATTGGAGTAGTTATAGGACAACCTTCAGAGTAGACCATTACAAATATAACAGCCATGCATTTCTCTACCCTTGATGGCAGGCAGGATATATGGACAAGTTGTTGCTCACATCTCTAACTCCATAACGTTTTATATATTTGTTTATGTCACTGTTGGAAAACTATTATTGAAAATAATTCTAGTTTCACTGCTTATTTGTCTGATACTTTGTCTGTAATGCAGTAAGACACATTATTTTTGCTTTTTGCTGAGTTACCGTCTGCTTTGAGCTTTGAATGAATTGAAGCTCCATTGGAGCTATACTGGGCATATGCTTAGTGTTTTTACACAATCTGGTGGTTCTGGGTTTTAATGACCTTTGTCTCCTTTGTTGTCTCGTGATCAGTTAATGGAACTCCCAGCAGCCAGCTTTCCACTCCTAAATCTACAAAATCCTCCAGTTCCTCTCCAACTAGCCCAGGAAGTTTCAGAGGATTAAAGGTATGAAATAGGATATATGGCATATTTGTGTGATTTTGTTATTTTGAGGTGCATAGTTTAGTTAACTTGTTCAGGGGCTTGGGTGTGGTAACAAATCATAAAGGAAAGAGTTTAGGATTTGGAGCCAGGAAGACCTGGCTTTGAATCTTGTGTCCTTTTTCATCTTGTAATTTGGGCCAATTCATTTAACTCTTCTGAGCTAAAGTGTTCCCATCTCTTAAATGGGAATATAAAGTTGTGGTTAGGGTTGAACATAATGTGGTTTTATATAAATAAATAGCAGTTTTCTTATTATTATCAAAATGATTTACAATGGCAAAGCCTTGGAGAACACCATGATTCTTTTTTAAAATGCCATTTAAAATCATGATTTTAATACTGTTAACATAATTTGACTGTGTGAAAGTCTAAAACAGAGTGAAATTCTAGCATAATACTTATATACACAAGTTAGTAACACAAGAAAAAATATGTTCATTTTGGTGAAGAACTTAGGAATAAATCTTAGGTTTCGACTGTGGTGTCCTAAAAATATAAACAGTAACTTAACATGATTAAGCAGTTGGTTTAATAGGCATTTTATCTAATAGAGAAGGAGAAGAATGAATGATGAGCAAAACCAAATTTGCAGGATTTCCACAAGTTTAATTTGATTGAGTAGCCCTCAATAATTTAAGTTTATAAGAGGAAATTTGCCTGGTAAAAAAGCAGTACATGAATTTTCTTAAAGATTGAAAGTGTCCTTTTGTAGAAACAGTCACATTGTCTGTATGGTAATGCACTTTAGGAAGATGGAAGTGTACACAGCGCCATGATGTACACGCGTATTAACTTTCATTCTCTTGGAGTGTTTAACATCGGAAGCACCTTCGTTAGGCATACATTCTTGAAAGTTGGTTGCCCCAACACTTCAGATATCGTCCAAGTGGTTTTCTTTACTTTAAGGATGCTGAAAAACATTTTTCACTGATAAAGTGAAAGGTAAAAGCCCCAGCATGCCTGGTGAATGTGGGGTGGGAACCTGCTGGGCCGGCAGGGCGGTGGGCCTGCGGGTCCTCACTGCCTGCGGGGCTCTGTTCTCCACCTGACACTCAGGTGTGCTTGTCCTGTCCTGAGGATGTTGTATCTACCTCAGAGTGAACTGCATGGTTCTTGTCTGAGTGCCTGACTTCAAAAGGAGAAGTTTCTTCTGGAAAAGGACAGATCAGATTGTCTGTTTTTGTGCCTGCTTGCTTATGTATGTTGGCAGAATTTGGACTGAGACGAATAGTCAGTTTGGGACTGGGAACACGTAAGCTCTCAGTAACCTCTACGTACTGGAAGTTCCTTATATTTATCAAAAGAACCGGCCATTTTCTGAAGTGCTAAATTGGCTTAGGTCAGTGTATAATATGATTTCAGTGGAATTTTTTTTTAAGATTTATTTATTATTTACTTATTTTTATTTATTTTTGGCTGTGTTGGGTCTTAGTTGTGGCACGGGGTGCACGGGCTTCTCTTTTCTAGTTGTGGTGCACGTGCTCCAGGGCGCATGGGCTGTGTAGTTGTGACACGCGGGCTTAGTTGCCCCACGGCATGTGGGATCTTAGTTCCCTGACCAGGGATCGAACCCACGTCCCCTGCGTTGTAAGGTGGATTCTTTACTGCTGGACCACCAGGGAAGTCCCTCAATGGAATTCTTAAATGTCAACCCCCCCAAAAAAGTTATATCCGTTAAAAATCACTCATGTAATTATTTTCAGCTTTTCTTTCCCAACTTATTTTCTCCAGAATAGATTGGAGATGCTCTCTTTTTAATCCGGGTAACTTTCAGGAGAACTAGAGTTAAAGATCAAGTTGATTCACCTCTTTTCCAGTTCCAGTTGTTTCATCCTTTGTTAAAACTAAAGCAGGTTGTTCCAGGTGCTGGTAATTGTCAACCTAGGGCAGTGATCCACCTTCAAAGGTCACTTGTATTTCTCCCTCAGGCTGTTGCTGTAGGCAGGGCTGCTCTGATCCTTGACCTAGGACTGCGTGCGGCCATCCCAGAAGGTACCTTACCCAGGGTCTTGGTCATTTCCCCTTTTTTTTGTTATCCATTGGTAACCTGGTCTCCCATCTTTCTTCCCAGTCCATCTTCAGCTCTCAGCCCAAGATTGTCCTTTTTTGTTGTTGCCACTGGCTCAGTTGGTGCTGCTTAATGCTCTGAGTCCAGACCCATTCCTTCATGTATGCGCACAGACTTGCAGGAGATCACCCACAGGTGCGAAGTCTGGAGTGAAGAGGCATGGGATTTTTAAAGCATGCTAATAAGTTGTATTATTGCGGAGACATTAGATAAAATTGTTCTCACTACACTAGGTGTATCTTAATTATTAGAGTAACCCCAGCATTTAGCACACACAGTTCCATGGCACATGGTAAGTGCTCAAGGATCACTTACTGATGCAGAAATAAATGAAGAAGGTTAGGGAAATGCTGATTCCTGGTCAAGAGTAAAGATGAGATTACCAGTCAGATAAAGAGTAGTGGTTCTTCCATGACCTCCCACCCCTTCCTTTCTCCTCTACCACACCTGGGGCTTGGCTAACAGCTGTGAGACCTCCTCTTGAGTTTTCTTTTGATCATCTGTAAAATAAGGATGTTTGACCTTAGATAACTTCTAGAGTGCTAAGATTAGAGTTCTTTTAAGTTGCCCAAAAATCTGTCTCGGAAGCTGGGGAGTCTATTTCTCTTCCTCTCACTTTAAAGCTGATGGAGAATCACTGAATCTTACATTAAATATTCGCAGCTAAACAAGTCTCTGCCACACCCATCAGCTGTTTGGACACAAAGCTAAGAACCTCTAACCCCTGCCTGTTCCCAGGGGTCGTACTTTGTGGACATTTCATCTCATCACAGTTCCCCACAGTCCATGGTGTGTATTGTCCTTGGAATGAAAACCTGCCTTTGAAATACTGCAGCTTAGTTGTTCTCTTCACTGTACAAAATACCGTAATTTCGATGTCATTGTAGAGCTCTAGTCAGCATCTGTCCACGTTTGCATTATTTTCTCTATTCAGTGACATTACAAATGGAGAATTACAGATAATTACCATGTGTTAGTGCTATGCTTTTTCCTTCCCCTTCATTTAAAATAGCTTATTAAGATCATTTAAGAGGAGACGTCTGACAATGGAGAGCTGTTTTTCATGGGCAGGAACCCTTTACCACTATTTATCCTACTTAGATACTTTCATGGCTTTGGGGATAGTGTTTTTCCAGAGAATCAGGGAATTGACAAAAGCAAGCAACCCAAGCCAGGACAACGTATGCAGGAGTTGGCACCCACATCACTCGGTATCCCAGGACACAGTTTCTGGCAGATGGCTTTTTTTCCTCTACTATCTGGGTTTTACTTACTAGGGAATTAAGCAAAATTAAGTCAGAGGTAAGCAGAATTTGATATCCTGTCACAGTTTTTCCCCCCTTTGTGCCAGTTTCCGGGAACCATTTTGTGTTTGGGTGGAGACACTGAAAGAACTGAAAATGGAAATAGTGATATTGTGATGTTTAATCTCTGACCCAGAGCATCGTTTTTGTTTGCTCCTTGAAGAAGACAGGAATTCAGAAGCAGCTCCCCCTCCTCCACAAAAAGCCCTCATTGTTTTCTCGATAGGACTCTTGTGAAGAAGACAACTCTGCCCCATTTATACCTGTTCATAGAAGGTCAAGCTCTCTAAGGGGCTGGACCAAAGGCAGGAGAAGAAGCAAAGCTTTCCTCAAATTAGGAATGTTTTTTTTGTAAGGGGGGGTTTTAAGAAATAGTGTGGCAGGGCAGAAATAGAGACACAGATGTAGAGAACAAACGTATGGACACCGAGGGGGGAAAGCAGAGGCGGGTGGAGGTGGTGGTGTGATGAATTGGGAGATTGGGATTGACATGTATACACTGATGGGTATAAAATGGATGACTAATAAGAACCTGCTGTATAAAAAAATAAAAGAAAATAAAAAAAAAAAGAAATAGTGTGGCGACCAAGTAATTAAGGTTCTTTAAACCTAAAACCAAAAGATGTTAGGACAACTGAGAGTTAGTTGTCCCTCAATTATAACTCTTTGGTTTTGCTAGACAGTTACCCAAAACCATAGAATAGGGAAACTGGAAGTGGCCTCAGATCTTTTCGTTTGTCTTCATTGTATAGATGGAGAATCTGAGGTGCACTCAAATCTCTCCCTCTGTTACAGTTTCTCATCTTGGACTTTCTTTTATCATTATTTTAATTTTTTTTTGCTTTAAAACGAGTGTGATGCCCTATGAAGTCAATGTTATTCTCTCACCGTGTACGCTGTAAGAGGTGGGTGTGGGGTGGCCAGCATTTGAGTATATGCCAAAGTAGTATGATCAGTATTCACAGCAGCTTTTTAGGAAGTATGAAAAGAACATTGTACTGGTCATGACGGTGACATGGTATAGTCAGCTGCCTTTTAAGAGGGCCTGTCTGTTCAGTGTTAAGTGATTTTTAAAAATAATAACCTGTTTTCCTGACTAGCTTAAAGATGGATTTGAGATGGTTTCGGATGCAGTTAAGTTATGCTATTGGGACGATAAACTCACCTTGACCTAAAAAAAAAAAAAAGAATCTGAGGTGCAGAGATGTGAAGTGAGTGGCTCTAGGTCCCAGTGGCCAGTTGGGATCTCTGACCCTTCCACAGTCTCTGTCTCTAACTTTTGACCTTCCCCCATCCCTGGTGGACCTGCTTCAGTGACCCCCAACACAGGTACCCCTTGGAAAAGCTGTGTTGTGTAGGCCTTTTAGGAGGGTGAGTGCCTGGGTTTAGATACACACAAATGCTCTGAAGAAAAATGGGTTGTGAGACTGGGAAAGGAATAAGGAGAAGGGAGGGTTGGGAAAAGGGAGAGGTGATCCTGGGGTAGGGGAGGGGGAGAGGCCAGAGGAAGGGCGAGGAAGACAGAGAAGAACTCCTGTTGGCAGCTCTTCCTGGGAGGCTTGGTTAAGGGATTGTTCATCGTATCTAAT